ACCTTTCAGGTCATACCGACAGCTAACAAAATTGAGCAACTTCTAATTAAAAAACAATCTTGCCATTTCACCTAAGTTAAAAAGGAAGGCTATATGTCATTCTCTGATTTTTCTACATAATTACTTGTCTTTTTTCCAGGGAAACATGCACTGCAGCCTCTGAGTGTAGTTCTACTGAGGCCATAAACCCATGTCTCTTCCACAGCACACAGATTTTGTCCCCATATAATTGGTTCTCTGCAATAGCTTTCCACTGATTTGGATGAATATTAGTGTGGAGGGCAGCTGTTTAAATAATAAGTAGAAGAGCAAAGGTTTTCCATGTAACTATTTGATGTAAAAACACTTTAAAAGGCAAACACATTATGCATGTATTAGTTTTTAAAAATCTACCCCAAAACAGACCTCATAAGAAAGATATTTCAGACACTACGCTTTCTAGGCAATGACTTTATATATGCATAGTCATTTGTATTGCAATTTTTAAGATCAAAAAAAAATAATGTAAAGAATATTTCAATCTTGGAGGAGCAATTACTCAAGCCCTTGGAAAAACAACTTGGAAAATGCTCAAAATTATAATGAGTAGAAACTGCCTAAGCTCTAAGAAGTTTATCTCTGTCTCATCCACACATTCCCTCTCATGCTTAAATCCCTTGAAAGGCAGACATACAAAATGGATTGCTGAGGTTTCCACAGAGCTCATAGTTTAATTCATCTCTCTCCAGCAGGAATCCCACACCAGTGATGTTTTGTTACTTATCCTTTGGAAATTGTAGTAGCAATTGAAGAGTGGACATAAGCAAGACCTTCCATCTGCACAGTCGCACGGGAGAGCTGTGCTCTGAATGAAGGGCACTTACAAGAGCACTGCAAAGACTGCATCCTGAAGAATTGCAGGGAAAGCATATCTAATCCCTCCCCTTGGCTTTCAAAGCTCAAATGTTGAAAACTTGCCCTATTTAATCTTTATGCAGAAGGAAGGAATAAAAATATTCTCTGTACGCAGAACCTGAAGCGCAGGAATTAATATAGTGAAGGTGATTTCAGGTACAGGTTTCCACACCACCTTTGCAGACCAAAGTTGGCACTTCCCACCAGCAGCTGTTGTGATTAACTCCCTGGAAGTCCACACAGTCTCCAGGAGCACTAAGTGCTCATCTTTTCAGACTTGGTGCAAGCACAGGTCTCTGCCAGTTTCTCAGCCATGCAGTCCAAAATACACGGGAACAAAGCAGCTTCAAAAATGAGCTCATCATTCTTTGCTGCCAGTCTCTCTTCAGCCCTCTGCTCGACCACCACAGCTGTAAAGTGAAGTTACAATCCACTGCAATCCCTGCATTTTCCCAAGGGATGGGGCGCCAGTCACCCCTAACACACCATCATCAGTGCAACTGGAAACCCAAAGAGGACTTGTAGCAGCCATGGCACAAACAGCCACTCATTGCTCCTGTCCCCAAGGCAGAACTGTGCCAGACACTCCCGTATCACGCTGGGAACACATCCAGGGCAAGCTGGATAAAGTCACCCAACACCCTCACCTCTTCATTGACTTAGATGCCTTTGTTCAGGCTGCTGGAAGCATTATGCCCCAGGGTTAAAAATAAACTTTTTCATCCTCAACTCCTAGTTCCCTTGAGAAAAATCACTTCAGAAAAGCCAGTACAGACTCTGTGCAACCTTTGTGCCAGTGTTTCACTGCCGTTATTATCAGCTAGGCTTCTTTGTACGGTTGGGGTTGTGAAACAATTTATATTTTCACTTCCTTTTCCAAAAGAAGCCTTTATTCTACAGAAGAACTACATTTTTGACAAGCTTAAATGAAAAGCTTCCTTCCAACAGGAGAACCACAAAAAAGCCAGCTTACATTTCCCATACACGTTAACAGCAGCTCTCACTGAAATAGTTTAGTGAACTGAAGTAGGTTTTGCTCCAGCTCTGATTTCTTGAGTATTACATGATGTCAGTGAATTGTGATTTTGTGTAAATAATGCTGCCTTGCTTGAAATTGCAACCAGAGGACCTTCTACTAATCTCTCACTGAGTTTGGGAAGGTTGCAGCAAGACCAGGCCTCTGGAAACGCATTCCAATGAGTCCACCCCTCTTTAAAGCAGAAAGGCAAAGAAGGGTGAACTTGCAAAATGCCTCTCTCATTGGTTATTTTGGAACAAGAGAAACGTCAGCCAAAGCCTTTTCATCTTTTGCCTTGAAAGAACTAGGGAGTTTAAAAAATGTTTCTCCTCGATGGATCTCATGTCACCATCACATTTTCTGAAAAATCCCTTCACCAGGATTTCTTCTCCTGGGAAGCTGAGAAGTCTCAGGGAAAAATGAAAACAATAACTATCTGATCCACTTCCCCTGTGTTTTGCTGCTTTGGAATGTGGTTGGAGATTGTTTACCAACTTGCCATTGTTTGATTGGTTTCATGTGAATTGTTTTTACTCAACAACCAATCACATCCAGCTGTGTCAGATCTCTGGAGAGGGTCACAAGTTTCAATTAGAATCTTGTTAGGCCTTCTGTATGTATCCTTTCTCTCTTCTTTGGTATAGCATTCTTAATTATAATATCATAAAATACTAAATTAGCCTTCCAAGAATATGGAGTCAGAGTCATCATTTCCTTCCTGGCATGGGGGACCCCAAAAATACCACAATCTCAAAGCTGAAAAGAGCAGATTTTGGTACATTCTAGGCTGGTTCTATTTCAAATCGGAAAATAGCTGCTGTTTTCTTTTTCAGGAATTGAAAGACTGACATTTAAAAGAAGCCTCAGTGCACAATTAGCCAAGAACTCAGCTATCAGGGTATGCCAAAACTGAGGCTTTGCACTTGCCCTCCACTAAACATTCCTCACCTCTGGGAACCAGTATTATGCTGCTATTTACATAATCACAGAATTTCCCTAACACAGCTAGATACTTTCCCCCATGCACCATCAAATTGTGTCTATATTAGATAGGCAAGTAAAAGCCATGTCAAGGACATCCCTAGATCCAAAACAGAAGAGAGAGGGGAATGAAAAAATTCTGAAATTTGAAAGGTGGAAAGGATTACTTCTCACTATCTCACTTTTCTATTAAAAAAACCCTACACAATGAAACCAAATAAACCAAGTAAACTCTTAAATTACAACCAGTAATTGGAAGAACAACATTTATCTAACTCCCGGACATGAGGGCTGAGTCAAAATTATTTAGCACATACTTTGTATCTGTCTCAATGACTATTACAAAAGTAAGGCTTACAGAGGCTGCTCTCCACATGCACAAAATATTACCAAAATGTAACCTGACAAGCACATTTTTCCTAATGCTGCTATCTTTCAGTGAGAAAGAAAAAAGGAAAAAAAAACATTCCCAGTTCTCACTGAGTCAATGAGCAGGGATGGGTGAGAAGCATTTCAGTGGTGCTGCTGTTTAATATCAAACCCCAGTGCAAAGTGGCAAAGGCAGCATGATTCAAACTGAGGAAGAAAGGGGATAACTGCACACACACACAGAGAAGCAGGAGGGAGGGGAAAAGCAGCCTAATCAAAACTAACAGCAGGATTTCTGCTCACACTTCAAACTGAGAGAAGATAAAACCTTTCATTTTCAGTTCTTGAAAGCAAACCCCTGGAGTCCATGTGGAGAAGAGCTCTGCAAAGAACTATCAACCCTTTGAATTCAGTCATTTGCAGAAGAACTACCCTTTTTCTACCTCCCTGAACATTCTTCCCCATTCTCAGTCATTTAGTTATTAGCATTACTATTACACACTTCCTGACCTTTTCTTTTATATGACAAACCCAAGTGATCCCTTCTGGAACCTGAGGGTTTATTATCCAAACCCATTTTAGACCATTTCCCATCCTCTCTCCCTGCTCCATTTCAAGCTGTCTGCTGCTCAAACCACTTCTCGTGACAAGCCCTAGGTGTTCAGCATCTTTTCCTCTTTTCACGAAAAGGCATCCTGGCTCCAGGTTTTTCATTCTCCTCTGATGAAACGACTCCTCCCACCCCGAAAAATGTTTCCCTGACGCACATTTTCCTAATTTAGGGCCAGAATCACAGATGTCATCTGAGAATGCAAATTATATGGACAGGCTTCCAGTGAGACTTAGAGGAACACCCAAAAAGTCTGAATGTCCCCTTGAAAGTCAGCAGGAAAACTTGACCTTGACATGTTGCCATCCAAAAGCACCAGGGCCACACTGACAGGAACCCACATCCTAGAGGAAACAGTAATAGGAGTGTAAAATCCCAAAGCATGCCCAGTGCTAAGTCAGGATTCCCCAAACCTGCAGCAGAGTGTTGCACTATTACAGAAAGACACAACCATAAGAGAAAAGGTTTTCAAAACCAGATTTTCCAAAGCTTTCTGGCACACTTCAACATGGAACATGGACAGGCTCTGTGCAAGCAACTTCTGCCCATGTTTGACCAACTGCATTTTTGTCAGCAACATTCCCAAATACAAGGGACTAAAAAAGGAATGACCAGTAGTTCCACTCAGTTTCAAAACCCACCATTAAATATTTAGCCTCCAAGTGCTAAAACAGTGTTTTAACAAGAACATATCAATCGTATGTGAGGCAGGAAATTACACTAGACTTCAATATGCTGCTGAAATTTGAAAAACAAAGTAGCAGCAAGAGTGTCTTCTGCAAGATGTATTATTTTCTGCTGGTATTTCTGAAGAAGACAGGATTAATTTCATGCTGTCTTGCATGATCAAGGGCAGTGTGAGGATAATAATCGAATGTATTCTATTGCTAGCTGCCACAAGTGATAAATACAATGCATAATTAAACAAGCAGCACCTAGACTGCCTGGAGGAAACAATTATTTAGTGCTTTCATTAGGACACACTCATTTCTCTCATTTTTTCAATGCATTCTCACATTTCAAAAAATCAACCTTAGCTCCATATAACGTGAAATGCTACAAGCTCCTGTGGCTGCAGCTGCCCAGGAACTGCCTGCTGGAAACAGACATTGCTGGATGAGCGCCCACCTTGCGAGTACAGAAGGATCTGCATCTCCAGAAGAACACAGGTGAAGACCTGGACCAGGTTCTCCAGGCCCAGCAGCTCGAAGACCTCCCTCAGAGGGTAGTCAGAGAGGGGCAGCTCATTGGGGCCAGGTCTCTGGCAGATGATGGGCTCATAAACCCCATAAAACTTGAGCGACCTGCCCGGGGGCGGCAGCGGCACCTCGTAGAGGATGTTGTGGATGTAGCTCTCCAGGGGCAGAGGCGGAGGCTGCTGGGAGGTCACTGCCTTGTAGAGCTGGATCAGGAACTTCTTGCAGGCTTGCATGAAGGGCAGAGGGGTGATGAGGCAGATGCACTTGGAGACGTAGAGCGTGTCCCTGCTGATGTCGTAGGAGTTGTAGCGCTGGAGCTTGGCGAGGGACGTGGCGTCGGCGTCGTCGATGCTGCTGGCCAGGGAGTCCATGCTGCAGGAGGAGGAGGCGCAGACGCTGCTGTACTGCTCTGCATTGTGCATCTGGTACAGCGTCTGCATGGCCGTGCAGATCTGCTTGCTCGTGACCTCCTCATAGAAGGTGAGCACAAAGCCGTACGTGCGGGAGCCGTCCTCCCTGGTGATGATGAACGAGTGCAGCTGCGGGTCCCTGTTGTCCGCCTGCGTCCTGAAGGACAGCCCCTTGGGCATACACAGCTAAGAGAGGAGAAAAGAAATAGACAGAGTTACCCAAGACACAATTTTATTTTGCTGTTTTTGCTGTGCGGGCACATTCTTTCATCCCCTGCATCACAACAAGCCACTTAGTTTTAAAATAAAGTATCCAAGAACAAAACGACTGATGCTACTTAAGAGGGAGACATGACTGAAGAAAGGAAAGCACCCTCCAAAATAATCCATCCATTCAGTCATTACAACTCATTTTCATTACTTGCTAAAACTGTTTTCACTACTGAATGGTCTTTGTGCCATTTATTTAAGCATCATAAAAACATCCAGCTCTGCTCTCATTTGCATATATATGCCCACAGTACTCTAAAATCAGAGAGTGAAGGAAGCATCTTATACCACTGGATTTAAATTACATAGACTTCTTGGAATTCTTTGATCTTCCCTAATTTTCTGGGGGAAGAAAACAACAAACAAACCAAACCCCAGCTGACTGGCAGCTATTACATTTACTTTCTTCTCTAAGTGCTACCAAATAGCTTAGACTGGATAAAAGGAGGGGCAGGAAGGGAAACACCCAAAATCTATGAAAGCCTCATTTTTGATTTACCACTCAGCAAAATCCCTTGCAGTGATTCTGCTACACTGGGTGTTTCTCTGAAGCATGGCCCTAGTGATAAATCAAGGCATTTTTCCAGACATTCTTTGGGAATGCTATCAACCATCTAACACAAAATAACAAACATCCAGCAAAACTCGTGTGAATTGTGCATCAGCAGGAAACTGCTCATGTTCTAGTTTAATAAGTATATTTATAAACAAAGGACTATAGCTTTATTTTTACCATCTGAAGAAATAAAAGGAAAGAAGAGAAGGAGAACCTCCAAAGTGTTCCTTTTCAGAAAAGGCAACAGTAGAAGCCAACTATACCACGGTATGTGAACGTAGGCACAACTGAGTGCATCCCCTAATGTCTCACCTTGAGCAGGAGTAAATTCCTGTGGTGCTGGAAGAGGTCAGAAGAAATAACTATAATTTTTCAGGCACATCCTACCCTGAACTTCAGCAGTGCACCCTGCAGAGTCCATTCAAGAGCCTGGTAAAGCTGGGAATTAGGCAAGTGGTCCAGACTCCACAACAGGCCATCAGGCCCCTAAATTATCTAGGACACCTCTTATGTATTGCTCAAAAAGGTAATGTGTAAGGAAATAAGTAGCCTGGAGTTGGCAGAACAACTTAATTCAATTGATGGGTTTTGCTGACACAAACCATGAAATTGCAGTTTGAATTATTTCTGAAGAGCAGCCACATTTTTATTCAAGAGCTTTTTTATTGAGGCATTAACAGCAGTGCCATGGTTAAGGCTTCTCCAATAAAGAAGTAGTAAAAATTCTTGTTTCACACTTTATTTAAATTTATTTTCCACAATAAATATCTCTCTTAACCTCACTTTTTGGCAGGCTAGCTTAATAAAAATTTATTTCTAGAATGTGGGCTTTCAATGATGGCTGTATGCCTTATCAAAGCCAACCAGGCTGAAATCATAGGCTTAAATCTCAATGCTATCAGAGACTGAATTTTCTTCACTTTACAGAAAAATACCTGGACAAGCAAATTAGATATACTATTACAATCAGGCACAGATAGGCATCAGGGAAATTCAGATCAGCTGAGACTGTTTCAGAAGGCTGGTTAAATAAATTTCCTCCAAGCCTTAATTATTATTCCCTTGTCCTTTATGTAGTGGGTAAGCACACACAAAGGGATGCCCATCTATTAAGTTTCAACCACAACTTGACACATGCAGAATATTGACCTTTTAAGACCCTGGCTGCAAACCTTGGCCCAGAGACTCCTGCTGTTGTTAGACCTATAAGAGGACACAGGAAAAAGCAGAGGGAAAAAAAAAAAGATGATAGGAAGAACCGAGACAGGAGGAATGACCAGGAGTCACTTAAGAAGCTAAGATCAAAAGGAAGAGCCTGTAATCATTTTCCAGCAATACAGAAAGCTTTGAATTTGTGGTTAATGCATGAAAACTTTCATCTTAGGGCCCTGGACATCAATCACTTCCCATCTCATCTGTGTCACACATGCCACAGGAGAGTGTTGGGAGAAGCTTGGGATGTGCTAAGGGGGGTGAAATTTTAGCCTGCTGGTATGAGTCTGGCTCACTAATGCTGAGAACACAGTCGGTCACCTGCACTGCATCTTTGTCTAAACACTGAAAACTATCCAAGATTACTGATCAAAGGACAGGATTTTGGTTTCATTTAATTTGTATTTAAAGGTATCCATCAGCAGAACACCGTGGAATTACACCAGATTTGCAATAAGGCTTATAACCAAGGTGGTTTGTAAAAACAAAAGGAAGCTGCATCAGGATAGATAAAGAGGTATCAGCTAATCCATAATCAGTCTCCGAATTCCTGAGCAGGAGATACCCTTCCTCCAAGCACAGAGGCAGGACACACTCGCCCTTATAATCCCTCCCTCCTTTTCCCAGCCATTATCATTTGCAGGTATTTCTGACCCAAAGGTCCCCTCTGGACCACTCCTCACCAGCACTGGCTCACCTCTTCTCCACTAAATCCTTCATTTCACTTTTTAAGCCTCTACATCTTCCTCATGTTCACAACATTCTGTGGCAGCAAGCTCCACACCTAAACCCCACTGTGGGCGAGGGGGTAGAGAGAAAGATGCTTTGCTTTTGTTTGTGTTAAAGCCTGCTCCTTCAAATTCCACCAGGGAACCTCTAGTTCTTTTATTTCAGTACATGAGACATTAAACAGATAATGCTTCCTCGAGTTTCAGAAATACAGCAAAGATTTATATACCTTGATGAACCAGAGGGCTAGAATAGGAAGCTCATATTCTAAAAATTTCTGTATCTCTTTACTGAGAACTTTAGTTTGGTACAACACTTGCAGAATGGCCACAGAACATGGTACGGGTAGGCAGGGAAAATCACAAAAAGCAGCAGGGGGAGAGACAATTTCCTATTAAAGGGAACTCTGTACTTTGACATATACTTTGAAACAGAGAGAAAACATGACTCCTTTGCAGCTTGATTGCTTGGAACTTCAGGGGGCTATTTTTAAAACAACAGGATGGTTCCAGAAGGCAATTGAAATTCCTTAGGCATCCAGCAAAGAGAGTTCTCACAAGTTACCCTTCAAGGATTTATGCATTTTCTTCTCTGAGGAAAATTGCTTCTGGAAGCTCACATAAAGCAAACACATAGGCAGAACTAATACAGCAAGGCAAGATCAGAAAGGCCAATAATTGCCTCAAGAGATTCCGTGGAGGTGGGTATTACTTAAAATGATGTTTCAGATCAAAACAATAAAGAAGTTTTCCAAAAGATAATTTAAAAGATCATTAAATACTGCTGCTGTTAGTAAATGCTTTCTTTTTCTCCAAGACACATTGCAAATGAAAGATGTGTTCAAGGCAGCTCAGTTCAATTATTCTAATAGGTCTCTTGCTGGTTTTAGCATTCCATTTTTGTCCAATACTGTGATCACACTTCACGAATATTAGACATTCTCCACTGTAATGTGAGAGACAAATAACACAGCAATTCCAGCTGCTTGATTCCTGCTGCACACCCCTCATTACTTCATACTGGAACTCCCCCAACGCAAAGGCAGAACTAAAAGGCATAAATAACCTTGGCAGTTGAGCTATTACCATCTTAACTGCTGACAAAGCATTGCTCTGAATCCTTCATGCCTCCTCTATCAGCACAGTGATGGGGAGACCAGCCTAAATACCACCCCAAATCCAGCAGTGCACATTTGGAAGCAGGAGACAGAAATCCCCAGCTGTCAGCAGGCAGAGGGAGAGGCCAGGCTCATTTCTGCCCTTCTGTGCAAGTGCAGTGCCACAGTACCAGCTCTCTGTGTCACTGCTGCTTCCAGCTCCTGTGCTTTCCTGTTAAATATCTGTTAGAAAGCTAAAAATAAAATTCAGTGGAAATTGAGATGAACTCCAGATTTCTACATCTTCATGACTGCAGAGAAGTTCCAAATGCATCTTTTGCATTTGCAAAAGCCAACTTAATGTGGGTTTTATGTATCCCCCACCTCTCCATCTGCTGGGTGAGGGCCAGGAGATTCTCCTGACTTCTCACTTGCACCACACAATGAGGTCACTCTGTTTTGAAGCAGGTGATGTGCTGTCCTGCCTTCCTCAAGTGCAAAGCTCATCTAACCTAGACTGGGGGAAGGCCCTCCCTAATTTTCCAATGTTGACTTAGACACAACTCACATTTTTGAAAACAGCTACAATATTGTTCATTGTTACTGTCACAACAATTGATTACCCTTAAATTAAGAAGCATATGGCATTTTTTGTACTGGGAAGCTCAAATATCTATTGTCTTTGTCAGGTTATGTTCTTAACAAGTGCTTTGGTGATTTTGGAATCATCCTTTAATTACCAGTTCTTCAGAAAAATTCCCAGTGGATTATCAGTCTTTCAGCTGTCAGTGCCTCCACTCCAGGAACTGTTTTCCCCCTCCTTTCCCAGTCCATGGGGCTCAGCCACACAGATGCTCACATCAAATACAACTGAGAGGAAAGAGATGTACAGGAGATGTACTGGTGCAGAGGTGCCATCAAAAGTGATGACCAGCAAAAGCTGTGGTTTAGCTAAATTCCAGCTTCATAAAGATTCCTCTTTCCCTTGTGTGCACAATCCAGGTGTTTTGTACTCCAAAACCTCAAATGGATATCAAGATCTTAAAAATTCCTTGGTTTTCCCCCTTTCCTACCTGGGGACAGGTATGCTAGGTGACCCAACCCCTTCTCAGCCAGACCCTGGGATGCTGCTGGGACTTGTTTGATCACGCAGCACACTCAGAACTAACGAGGGAACACAGCACTTTGCTTTTGTTGTGCCTGAAAGTATTCTGTGTTTTCACAACACCTCTTCCCATGCAGCTTTCCATGCAGCATGCCCAGAGAGCGCTCTTAGTCCCAGGAGAAGCAGCACAGCCACAAGAGCATCACAAGGGCTGGCTGGAAACAACCCAGGGACCTCTCCAGACCCAACACTGCCGGTAACAATTTGAGAAGAGAGTTTTTCTCTACCTACCATGTTGACAGCATCCTGGTCAAAGGGGTTCCACTCAATGTTCTGAGGATAATGAGCCAAAACTTTGGACTTGAAGGTTCTTCTTAGGGGACTCTGGTCAAAATTCTCTCCTGCAACAAATGAAGAAATAATGACTCGAAACAGCACCGAGGCTTCAGAGAGAGCTGACTTTTCTTTTTTTTTTTAATCAAATCTGATGGACATTTTCACTCTCAGAGGTACTACTTTAAAAGAGAAACAGAAAAGATTCCCATTCAGTCTGACCTTACCCTCCCTTCCCACAAAATCTCACTGCAGTTGCAACACAGCTTCCAGTTTAGTATTTACAGAACAGAAATATATTGTCAAGAGAAAAATCACTGCTGAAATTCTACAGAAAAACACCTTGCAATCAACTGGATTCTTGACCTTCTCCAACAGCTTGAGTATCTAGAGACAGCTTTACCTAGTCAGTTAAAGAGCACTTTCCCTCAAATTTATCAGAAGCTGTCTTTAAGGTCAACAAAAAATATGAGCACCTCTTGGCTATCATAAATTATTCAAGCATTCATTATAGATGATATTTTTTTACATCATGTGAAAATTAAAAATTTATTTTTTCTACATCAAATTTCAAGGACATACTTTCTCCACACAAAGAATCCAGCTAGTGCAAAGAGGAAGACTGAAATTAGACTTCAGGTAGAAATGCATCCAGTTATCAGCATACAAATACTGCATTTCACAGTGATGTTGTTATTGGAGTTCTCCCCACTGGATTGTCTACAACATGCAGAACAGTAATCAAACCAAGGAGTTCTTAAAATTTATTAATTTAATGACCATCTATTACACTATCACACAAAACCAGTTCTTCCAACAGCACTAACATGCAAGTGCATTCTGAGAAAGGGTTTTAAATCTTTTCCTTCCCAGGTAATCTCTGAGATTTTAAAGATATTGTTATTTTTATACAACACTTATTTTGAACACAGGATTTAGACACATTGCAGCATCATAGTAGTGGAATCATCACCCTTGGAAGTGTTCAAAAACATGTGGATGTGGCATTTGGGGATATGTTTTAGTAGCAAAAAGGCAGTGCCAGGTTTAATGGTAGGATTTGATAATCTATGAAGATCCTCCTCAAGATCAGACTAAGTACACCAAAACCAGAGACCATTTCTCTATTTCAGAACGTGGCAGTAGAATAACCTCTTATTTTGGTCCAAAAGTTCTTTGCAGAGCCATTAAAGACAGTGTCATCCACCATTTCCCAAAATTTCACAAAATAAAGATCCTACCAAGCAAAGCCAGCAAAAATTTTCTCTCCAGGTATGTACCTAGACATACTCAGCAACATTTTTAGTTCTTAGAATCAAACAGTAATTAACATGCTTGCATAATCAAACAAATATGCACGAGGTTATTTCCCAATTAGCTCTTCAATCATTCTCACATCTAACAGAGTTTACCTTACCACTGTGACTTGGCAGAAAGGCAGGTATTTGATGCTAAATTTATTTGGTTGCTTCTACTAAAAGTTAGAAGAGAATATCTGGATGACTTAATGAAGTTCTCTACTGCTAGCACTAAGTGACTGCTGAAGTTTAAATTTCTTTAAAGGTTTCCTTTCTCATGACAGAAAAAAATAGAAAAAAGAATTTGGTTATCAAGTATAAGTATTACTTTAAGAAATCCATCTGCCCAAAACCAGCAATTACAATGTCCCTGTAGGCTGACAACATGGATTCATTTTATCCAGGAAAATAAATGGCACAAAAAACTTACCTTCGTAGAGTCTCAGCAATGTTTGCATTTTACCATTCCAGTAGTTTAAGAAAAATATAAACTTTAGGTAAAACACACATAGAGAAAATTCTCTCAATCAGTGATCATGAGGGAAAAGCAAAGAGCCAAGACCACACTGGAGTAAAATCAACCTGTCATTAGCTAGAGAGGACATGACATTGCACCCTCCAAACAAAGCTGCCTCACAGAAAGTCAAGCAGGGCACACTTTTAGAGGAGATACATAAATTAGAAAAAAAACAATACAAGGATGTGAAGGAGCAGCCTGTGTGTGAGGGTGAAATGCCATCATTTGCCCAAACTAGCAGGAAACAGCCCAAGTCTCAGCAAAACCAGACGAAAAGCATGGAGCACAACAGCCAGCTCCACACTGACAGGCAGCTGGAAGAGAACCACAGGGAGCAGAACCTTCTTGGCAAACATGAGGGAAGGGATCTGGACTGAAAGGTTCCTGATCCTCTCAGCCTTGGTAGCTCTGAACTGCTGAGTCACACATGGCATAGAGAATTCACTTATCTGTTACTCTAAATGAACAGTGAATTTTCATTAAACCTCCCACACGCTTCTAAGTGCTTCTTTGCTAACTTTCCAAACAGGATTAGCAAGGCACATTTAAAGTGAGCCAAGTATTAAATGCAAATTGAATCCATTTGCTAAAATACCAATGGCCACATAACACTACTATATGGACAGGAACATAGCATTTGATGTGTGCTGCCCATGCAAACAGCACAACTCTCAGAGGCAAATTTAAAAATTGGGTTTGAATTCAATCCTTTTGCATTCAGGATTTTTTTTTTAAAAACCGAGTACTTTTAAAAATTGTGTAAAATGTGTCAGATTCAGCTTCCATTGCATTTGGATACTTCCATCCTGTTAATGGTACTCTTAAACAACTTGTGCCTTCCTTTAAGGAGCTGGCTTTTAAAGGGACATTTAGATTCAAATTAAAAGCAAATAGTGAAGCGATGGATGCTAGATCAAGAAAAAACTGTGCTACTTTCATTTCAAAACAAAAAGATTGCTCAAAATTAGAAGACAAGCCTGATCTGTGTTTTGGATGAAAGACAGAATTACTAGGGAAATGCAGCTATAGTCATGAAGCCGTTAATCATGATGACTTTCACAAGTGTGATCCTACATCAAAATTTAGTGATCTTCAAGTTTAAACAGATCTGTTTCAATTATTGTCACAGTGACAGAGGCACACAAAGCTTTGTACCAAATAGGCAGAGGCATCTTCCACCCTCTGGTCCAGGGAATGCCAGCTATCTGTCACTCCTCCCAAGCTCTGGAACACAGACAGGAATGCCTGTGACTACAGAAACAAAAATATCTTTTATTCCTTTAGAGGAACACAGCTATGCACAGAGCTCGTGGTGACCACATCTGTGACAGCCTCCTCTAATTAAAAGTGCTCAGCACAACCAGCTATGGCCTCTCCCTGCAGATGGAATTTTGTTAAGCTTATTTAATAACAGGATGACCCTGCGCGAGAAGCAAATAATACACAATGTGTGAGTGAGAAAACAATGTGGGCACAGGAATAACAGTGCTTGGCTGGGGAGCAAGCAGGCTGTTAATTGTCAGGCTCAGGACCTGGTTAGTTTGAGTAGTGCAGAACTGCTCTGCTGCTTTTCTCCCATGCCTCCCCAGGATGCCAGGGTGGCAGGGAGAGGCTGAGCAGAGTTCAAGGACATGGTAACTCAAAGCTCTTATTTCTGACTTCACATTCTCACAATCTCATAGCAGAGGATGGAGATAAGAAAGGGAGGACTGGGACAAGGCAGACAAAACAGTTTTCATTCCAAAGTTTTAAAATCTGAGTTGTCTGTAAGAAAGTAGTGGATTTTGGGGGGCTGAGGAGGAGTGTCATAGACATATTTTCTGAAAAATCCTTTTGTTAGGAATTTTGTCAGGATTTTTTGTCCTGAGTAGCTGAGAAGCCTCAGAGGAAAAGAAAAACAATAATTATCTGCTGCTGTGGAATGCAACAGGTGCATCTTTGTTTGGTCTCATGTGGTTGTTTTAAATTAATGGCCAATCACAGCCCAGCTGTCTCAGACTCTCTGGTCAGTCACAAGATTTTATCATCATTCCTTTCTATTCCTTTCCTTTGCTAGCCTTCTGATGAAATATTTTCTCTTTCTTTAGTATAGTTTTAATATATCATTTTCTTTTAATATATGTCATAAAATAATAAATCAGCCTTCTGAAACATGGAGTCAACATTCTCATCTCTTCCCTCATCCTGGGACCATCACAGAGGAGGGCAGTGTCTAATCTTCCTTTTGAATGCCAATATGTAAAGGAATTAATGGATAATATTTAAGCAGGAAACTATAGGGGGATGTGTACCCTATCAATTCATCTAAAATATTTCGAATTTTCTGGGGGTATGTGTCTATATGAACCTCACCAGTATTTCTGTTTAAATCTAGACTGCAAAATAAACTTCCCTGAGGTGTCAGGAAACTTTGTGTCTATGTAGCAGAAAATTTGGTGGAGCTGAACCTTCCAGTCCCCCACATTCACAAATCCACACAACTAAGCCTTGTTAGATTTCTGGGTAAGTATCCTGTAAAAAAGGCCTCATGCAAGATATTGTTCAGTCTATTATGCAACAGATCTAGCACAGTCTCCTCTCCACCAATATATTGACAATATACTGACATCACTAGTGGGATTTTGCTGGAGAACCATATCTGCCAAGAGAGCTACGAGAAACAGAACAAAATTTTCCAAATATTGATTTAAATTAGGTAAAAGAATTAAGAATTCCAAGAGGTTTGGTTTTGATTTGGATCTGTGATTTTCAATTTGATTCAAGAGGAGTAAGAAGACTGAAAATAAAGAAATAGAGAGGTCCTGGTCATTGTTTTATCCTTAACCCCTCTTTACCTGAGGTTTTGTCTGCAGTGTCTGAGCTCTTGCCATGGAGATCTGCTTGTAGATATTGGTACAAGACTACACAGCATAACAAACAGAAATAAAAAAAGCAAGTATGAACAAAATGAAAATATATACAATGTACTGGGGAAGGGGAAAAAACATGAATCAGACATTAAATATTCCCCCTCACCATCTCACTTCCCCCCACTACTGGCAAAGGGTAAATCCACAAGACAAATAAAACCTTCCAGGACTGGATTACTGTAGAGGTGTTGAATGCAATGACAGACATGGCAGAAATACTTGTCAAAATTAGTAACAAGATTAAATTCTCAGTACTTCAAACAACACACTGCTTTACAGCTTCCCTATTATGAAAGACATCTTTGTTCACATATTGAGCCCTTCTAGAGCCTGAGAAAATCAGG